GGGGTCCGGGGTAGAGGTCATAGGTCGCTTGATCTTTACGGGGATCAAGAGTTAGGTGTGTTAGTATGACTCAAGGTTAGTCTCGGGGCAGTCGGGGTAGACTCGAGGGACGGGTAGATGTCGGGGCGTGACCCTCGGGGGGGCCATTGGTGAGGTATAGACTTCACCGGAGGGGGTCACTTAGACGGTCTAGGGAGTCATACTAGTCTAGGTCTTAGGTAGCCTTCGGAAGCGGAGACGTCGGGGGACACTCGCTTGGGTAGGTTAGGTGCGTCGTGTCACGCTGAGACGTGTTTATGACACGCTCGGTAAGAACTCCTCTAATAACGGTGTTCCAATGCGCCTTGGATCATGCCGGGAGGTGGAGTTAAAAATGGAAGTAACGGGGAACTTAGCGTGTTAGGGATGTTTGGCGTGTTTGCTTCGTGTGTGGTTTCTTTCTTGCAGGTTTTATAGAAGAAAGTGGAGATTTGTAGAAGCCAGGTCTTCGTCAAAACCCGCTGGGAGAATCGGAGGCTTTCGAAGCCTCGGACCGAAGCAGAGGGTTTGAGGGGTGTTATGGTAAAAGTGTAAGGGCGAGAGTATAAGCCCTAGGGTTTGTTCTTTTCTCCTTTCTTCAGACGGTGTTCGCGTTTTTCGGTTTCTCTCTCTTGCGGTGGCGATCTCTCGTCTCCGTGTGTCGGTGCCGATTTCGATCGGAACTCCGGCGGTTGTACCTAGCAAATAGCGGTTTTCTCTTCCCGAGACGTAGGCACCGAGCGTTAGAGCTCGGTACCGAACTCGTACATCGCTGTCTCGCATCTCTCTTTCGTTTCTTGCTCACACGAGTGACTCGGAGAGACGATGAGGTGAATCGGAGGGCAAATCCTCTACATATATATATATATATATATATATGTATGTGCGTAGTGTATAAACTTGGAATGCCACAGCAAGTTATAACTTTGCTTTCAGCTTACGGAATGCTCAACCGATGGATGTAGCTATCAAGAAGAGTAAGAAGATATATAAATAAAATTCGAATTTTTTTTATTGAATAATGAGATCGGTTCAAGATCTCATATAAATTACAGTCCCTTTTAGTATATGTGAGAGATTG